GCCTCGTCTAGCTCATTGAGCAGGGTGATGTAGACGCTGCAGAAGCCCTGGTTGAAGGGGGGGGCCTGGTCAGTGGCAGACACGTTCATTAAGTAGCTGGTCTTGGTCTCGTAATCCAGGTAGTCCACGGTGATGATAAGCCCGGTGCTCTCATCAATCTCGAACTTCCCCTCAGCACCCGACAGGATGCGGTAGTTCACCAGGCCGCCATCCCCTGCAGGAGGACACAGGGGCTATGTAGTCCAAGGGCAGTGGGGTGGGGGGGCTGCCCTGTGGCTGTGGCCATGGGCCCAGCCAGCACATGCTGCCCCACCTCTGCGGACTGGATCATCTAGACAGATGTGGTAGAGATGGGTCAGGGTCAGTGTGGGTGGCAAGGTCCAGCACACAATGGTGACCCCTCCTTTGGTGCTTGGCCCTGGTACCAGAGATATGCCAGAGGGGGTCAGTTCTGCTCTGAGAGCCTCATAATTCAAGCTCAAATACCTCTCTTTGACATTTGAAAAGAAGATGAAAAATTAAGCATCTCTTGCAGTGGAGGCTTTGATTTAGAAAGTTAGACGAGGCAGCATGCTCAGAGGTGGCCAAACCCTCACTTGGTTCCTCTCATGGAAGGGTTTCAGGGCCAAGGACACCTCCCGCATGCTCCTTACTCCCTATACCCCACATCCCTGTGCCTTGGAACACATCGTACAAGTAGGAGCTAGAGCTGAGATTCCTTAAGCTGAATTCATCAAGGGAGGGCAGGAAAGTAAATGGTCATAAAACCACTTGGGGAATCCAAGACTTCCTTTAAATGACTCGCAGAACTCTGAATGGATGTGCATTTCCTGGGGAGAGGATCCATAGATTTCACAAGTTTCTCAAAGGGAGTGATGACCCAGAAAAGGCCATGAAGCACTGGGCCATGGCAATACATGTGACCCAACCTGTGGTAACATGTCCTTTAGGGAGGATACGCCACATGAAGGTTTTCAGACATGTTTGTCCCTCCAGTCTGTCCATGCTACAGGCAGGTGGGGGACGCTGAGAGAGGACTGGGGAGTTCCCAGCGTGTGTGACGTGAGGGGAGAGGAGGAGCTCAGGGAGCCTCTCTGGGGGGGAGACCCCCAGGAAGAGTTCCCCTCTGCTGTATCCCTGGCTGGGGTGAGACAGATGCTTCTCCCTTGTTCTGCACTGCTGGCTGTGGCCGCCCTGGGGCTTGGGCCCTCAGTGAGGTTCAGGCCACCTCCAGAGCTGATTGTCACCCTATAGAATAGGAGGGACACTGGCCCTTGGGGGATTGTGTGTGCCAGGCCCTGAGCTGGCCCTGTGGGACATGAGCTGTGGCTGGCCGGAGGAGCAGGAGGCAGATGGCTTTCTGAAAAGTTCTTTTTACCTCTCCCAGCCTCACCTAGTACCTCACCCAAGGCCGGTAGGGAGATGCCAGTCCTGGGATGAGAAACTTGGACTTGTCAGGCTTCTGACCACTCCCTGTCTAGTTCTTTTTTTTTTTTTTTTTTGAGACAGAACCTCAAGCTGTCGCCCTGGGTAGAGTGCTGTGGCATCAAAGTTCACAGCAACCTCCAACTCCTGGGCTCAAGCGAGTCTCCTGCCTCCTCCCAAGTAGCTGGGATGACAGGTGCCCGCCACAATGCTCAGCTATTTTTTGGTTGCAGCCGTCATTGTTTGGTGGGTCCGGGCTGGATTTGAACCCGCCAGCTCAGGTGTATGTGGATGGCACCTTAGCCACTTGAGCCACAGGCACTGAGCCCCTCTCTAGTTCTTTTAAGTCTGGATGTGGTAGGGAGTGACCAAGACCATCCCAGGAGCCCTTCTCTGGCCTAGTAGTGGCCGAATGAGGGAGTCTGAGGCACCCAAGGATGATGGTCACTGCAAGAGTAGGCTGGGTGAGCTGCGGAGAGTCACTTCAAACAATGGGACCCCCAGCTTCCCCGCTGCCGGTCTCACCAGTGTCTCGGTCGGTAGCTCGAACGACGATGACTGACGTGCCAACACCTGCAGTCTCTCGAAGTCCCAGACGGCTGTACTGCTGCTGTGTGAACACGGGGGCCTCATCGTTGACATCCTCTACGTACACAATCACCTGCAGGGGTGGGCCGGGGGCGAGGTCAGAGTGCGTGCTGGCTGAGGAGCCTCAGGCTTGGCCCACTATGGCCTGCTTGAGTGGTCACAGCTGTCCTGGTCCCACTGGGAGTTCCCACTGGGGGAATCTAAGGCTGTCCTGTTGGTCACCATGTCCTCCTATCTTGCACAGTACTGGGCACGTGGCAGTTGCCCAAACATTATTTGTTCAGCAATGAACCTTATCTTACTCTTGGCTCTGTGACTAACCCTGTGGGAGCCTATGACTAACTAGTGACTCTTTTGGGCCATCAAGTTTCTCAGCTATGAAATGGAGACACTAATATAATAGTGTATACTCCATACCAACTCCTAAGGTTATTAGGAAGACAAAATGAGCCAGGGCCCACAGAAATGCTTGAAAAAACTGAAAGTGACCCTATTCAAATATCAAAATATATCTAGGAGAAAGACATAAAACTTGAATGGCGATTGTAGCAGAGATGTCGATGGCTCAGACTCCTTCATAATTTGCGCGCACCTTCTCACAGCCAGGAGCCAGTATCAGCGGCTCTTTGAAGGACTAACCACATTCCACCACCCAGGCTGCCAGAAACCAAACATCCAGGGAGCAGAAATGCATGGAAATTTGCACCCCCTGGGGAAGCCCTTAGCCAGACTGATGGGTGTGGAAGGCTCTAGCTTCTTTGGTCCTGTTTGGGGTACTGAGAGAGCTCTAGAGAGCTTTGGGTGGAGGTATCTCTCCATGTCACCTTGCTGGCTGCTTTTCCTCCCTACCCCACTTGCAGATTTTCCTAAGGATACTTCTTACTAATTACCTTCCCTTGTCTCTGCTGCAGGAGACCCCACCTGAGATGGCTATTGTGCAATTATGCATCATTCCCTCACTGCTTATCAGTATTTTTCTAAGTTCTCTTTAGTGAATATGCATATTGTGTGTAAGGAACATAATACAAAGTTGTTTACGGAAAGCCTCGTTTATGGGTAGAGATCAACACCATGATCCTCTCTCCTGGCACCCTCTGGGTCCCCACAGGAGCACCAGGAGGGTCTGTGCAGGTGTGGACAGGGCTGTGTCTGGAGGGCAGGGCATCACAGAGTTACAGACCCAGGGTGCAGGTGCTCAAGGAGCCATAGGGAGGCCCAGAGCTCAAGCCTCTTTTTCCAGATGGGAGAACAAAGGCCCATAGAGCAGACTTGTCCAAGGCCTCATAGCAACTGAGAGGGCTGGAAAGAGGATGGGGCTCTCCTGCTTCCTAATTTACCACCCTATGGGTCTTTGCTCATGCTGGGGTAAGCTGGCCGCAAACAGGAGGGGCAGCTTCTTCCCAACCAAACAGAGCCAGGGCCAGGAGGGATGGGCCGGCAGAGGGGAGCAGATGGGGAAGGGGAAAAGGAAGGTGTGCTCCTCACAGGTTTCACAGGTGGCCACCAGCTGGAGCGTCCTGAGACACACGTGTCTGAAGCATGTCTATCTGGCCTCTGTTCACTGCCTCTGGGATTGGCCCTGGTTTCTCATCAGGGAACTAGCTGGGGAGTGAAGGGGCTTCTGGTGGCCTGACTAGTGGAGGACACCCTGGTTTATGGAGCTGGGGGCAGAGAGGCATGGGGACGAAGGTTTCCCTACATCACTGCTCCTGGAGTTCTCGCAGCCCTGCTGTCATCAGACATTTCCAGTCCAGACTCCCAGAACCCGCTATGCACACTAAAGTTCATGGCCTGGAGCACAACTGCTCACAGGCTGGATGCTCCTAAATTTGGCTTCACTCACAATTTGGCTGGGGAGATCCTGGGTGGGGCGGGTGTCAGGGGGAATTTGTGTGGATGAATTTCGGGAACTCTCCTGTAAACAGAAACTAACTACCCATCTTTCAAAACTGTGAGCCTTCCACCCTTCCTGACTCTGCCTGTCCAAGCGACCTTGACTCTAAGGGTCGTGGGGAAAAAGCAGCAAAGTCTGATAGTACCATAAAAAAGATAAGGGTGGGGGCGGCGCCTGTGGCTCAGAAGGGTAGGGCCCTGGTCCCATATGCCGGAGGTGGTGGGTTCAAACCCAGCCCCGACCAAAAACTGCAAAAAAAAAAAAAAAAAAAGGGAGGTAGCATGGGATGTGGGTGTGGCCTGTCTTCCATGAGTCTGGCTACATGTCACCAAATAACCTGTGTTGGTTATTTGGAAACAAATGGTGGTTTCAGCCTTGTTTTTTAGCAGCAGAGACAGGAGGCAAGATGCGTGTTTTGCAAACCTGAGAGACACAGCTGTACAGGAAACAGAGGTCTGCCATGCTCCTGCTGGGCTGGAGACAGGTTAACCAGATCCGCTTTCTGTCTAGTGCTGTGCCCTCCAACGGGGATGGAGAGGAGGTGTGTGTGCAACACACGCTTGTGTGTATATGCAAATGCATATGCCATGTGTACTCTGAGATACCCAGTCTCTGAGAACCACGTCACCCCACATCCCCCACCCTCAGCCAGGCTGTCCCTGGTCTCTGAAGCAGGAACTACAGAATGTGAATGGTTTCCACAAGCCATCTCTATTGCTGCTGGAAAAATGAATCCAAGGTAAAACTGGAGTCCCCGCATCGTCTTCATAGAGGTCCCCAGCTTTCCTGGCTATCAGTGTGGAGGCTGTGCCAGTCCCCAAATTCTCACCTTAAAATTACCCTTTGGGGATGAGACAGTGGTTTCCAAGTGTGCTCTGAGAGCTTATGTGAGACAGCGTAGTGGTGGTTGTGAAACCCATCTCTACCCTTACTGCTGCGTGACCCTAAATGAGCTGGCTAATTCCTCTTTGCCTCAATCTCTCCATCTGTAAAATGGGGGTAATAACAGTGCCCACCTCACAGAGCTCTCAATGAGGGTTACACGAGTTACAGTCCATGAAGCACTTAGGAAAATGCCAGGCACAGTACTTTGTCAATACCATTATTACTCCTGGTTCAGGGAGTGGTGTGGCTCTAGATGTCCCACCCCTGCACTGGTTAGCACAGCCTGCTTTGATCTGTTTTATACAGTACCCTGAGATGCTGCAGACTATTTCAGCTACAAAGAAGGTTTGTGGCCAAGAAATGTTTGCAGCCACAATGCCAAGGGACTGACAGGGGCAGGCCTTAGAGACAAGTGTCCCCCACTCCTGAGGTTCTGAGAGGGGCCATAGGAGGGCTGTGGTTAGAAAGCCTGAAGTCTAGGGACCCGACCCAACCCAAGATTTGCTGACATCAGCAGTGGGCCCCCCAGAGGGCAGCTCTGATGTGGGTTTACTGATCACAGGTGAATAAGTGGGTTACAGTCATGTAGGTGAGTATGACTGTGTGGCAGGGCCTGGGTACAATTCAGGTAACTGTGTCTGATTCTCAGTCACCAGGGCCCTGTAAGCACCCAGGGGATCTGACCCCCTTGGCCATTTCTGCCAGGCAGCAATCCCTGAGGGCAGAGGCAGGGAGCCAGGTATTTCTTTCCGTCTCCTCCCAGGGCAAAGCTGTGGGGCGTCATAGCTGAGTCACTCGCCCCAGCACAGAACCAGGTAGGCTTCTGCTCATTGTTTCCAGCCTGGGGAAACAGCGGGGTGGAAATGGGCTGCTGATAAGAAGGCCCTGCTCTGCCCTGCTCAGTTCTGGGTAAAAGTCCCTGTTACTCTCCACTCACTTCTCCCATCTCCTTCCTACTCCTGACGTCTGTGTCTGACTCATTTCTTTCCATCTTAGGGGACGGGGTGGGAGCTGCTGAGTGTGCAGTGGAGTGGGGAGGGCCTGGAGAGGTCATTTCATTCATCTCAGTCATCCCCCTGCTGCTGGACCCAAACCAGATAGTCGGAACATTTGTGTGTTTATTTCTGACTATTCAGCAAGATTAAGACCGAGCTGATTTCAACTGCACAGTTACGGATGGGCAAAAATAGAATACATTTGATAGGGCAAGGTGGAGAGGTAACTGGAATATTTTAGGGACAGTTTCCATGGAAAGAGCACTGAACTTGGACTCAGGAGACATGGGCTCAAGACCTAATTCTATCACTAGCAACTTCTCTGTGCCTCCCTTTCCTCATTGGTAAAATGAGGTTGGCATCCACACCTCCAAGATCATCTATGTGGGATTTCTTTGGCTCACCCTTGAGAGCTATGCGGACATGGACCAATGTGGTAAGAGGTGGTAGTAACTCCCTTCCATGGCTGGAGAAACTGAAGCTCAGAGAAAACTGACAAGTTCAGGATCCTGGGCTGGGCAACCCTTACCAAACCCTTAGCCCCAGTACTCTACCCCACCTAGGTCCCAACTGGTGGCCATCTCCAGCCTAGCTGTGGCCTTGGCCCCAGCTCTCACCCTGACGGAGCTCCGCATGGGGCCCAGGTCATGATTGTACGCCTCGACTATCAGCACATGGGATGAGTTCCGCTCCCGGTCCAGGGCCCGGGGCCCTCGCATCAGGAGCCCGTTGCTGACATGGATCCGGAAGTTGTTGCCATGGTTACCTGTATAGAGCAATAGATTAGGTTCATAGGTTCCCTGCTACAGGGCAGGGAAAGGAGGCACCTGTGTCCCCCAGAACATTGGTCCTTCCCAGAGATCTTGAGAACCAAGCTGAAGTCCACACAGGCAAGGAGGCCTCTGCCTCGTGCTGCCTGGGCCCGGCATGGCTCGGTGTGAAGGGCCAAAGTTCACCTGTCCCTCACTCTGTATAGGAAGACTGGGGGTCTCCCTTGACCTCCACACTCATAGGTGAAGGTGGAGAGAGGCATTTTTAATATTTCAGAAAGATCTGAGGTCTGACAAATGAGAGGCACCAAAACCAAATTTTCACTAAATCCAGGACTTCGACTGACCATCTCTGGGCTGGTCCAGCACCCACTCCCTGATCTTGCGGGAGAAGCAGCCTGATTTTCCTCTGAGGATCCACCCTCCTCTACTCTCAGTCCTTGTGGTTTGTGTAGGGCGACTTTACCCCTGATTCCAGAAGACAGTAGATCAGCATATTCTATTTCCTGGCCATAGTGACTGGCTAAGGGATGGGCACCTGATTCTGATAGCCTCCATCCCTGAGAAGCTCACTGGGGTGACTGGCTGAGGGATGGGCATGTGTGATTCTGGCTGGACCAACAGATTCAATCCCTGGAGAACTCAGTGGAGGGTGATCCTCTTGTCTAAGGTCATAGTGATCAGCTCAGGTTTGGGCACCAGATTCTGGTTGGACCAATCCCCTCAATCCCTGGGGTGCTCAGTGGGACACTGTCCTGGTATTCAAGGCCCCCTCTGTCAGGGTGATGGCTTCGGGAAGCACCGTGGGACATGAGGGACTTTGGGAGCATGGCAATCAGATGCTGCATCCTCACTTAACATACACCCACTGTGGGGCAAATAAGTGAAGAATTTCCCTGTCATTCTCTCTGGCCCTGCTCCACGGGTACAGCCCTTGGGGCTTCCTGGGTCTCACCTCCCAGACCTGGGGCAGCCTGGAGAAGCTCTGCCCTCCCCAAGGCAGGAGGGCTGGCCCCCCACCCTTGGACAGCCCCACTTACCATGGAGAATGCGGTACCAAACGCGCCCAAACTCGCCTTCATCTGCATCTGTGGCTTTCAGCTGAGGGAGAATGAGACATTGGAGTTACTTCTTGAATTCCACCGGGCAGGGAGAGAGGAGGTTTGTGGAGCCCGTTTCCCTCCCTCCGCTTTATCCTACCACGTCTTTCCAAACCTGTGGTATCCCACAGTGGCTGGGGGTGTGGAAATGAGGGGGACATGTTGTGTCTTTCTCATCCCCGTGAGGACGTCTGACTGCGATGGCCCCCACTGCCTGTCCAGGGCCAGCTCTGCTCCCTAACTCTCCTCCAGGTTCTTGGGGAGGACAAGAAGTGGATGCTGGTGCTGTAGCTCGCTGGATCCAGCTTGAACAGGTTGTCCCACACCTCCACAATTCCCTGCATGCCAGGCTGTGAGAGCAGAAGCCTCACCGAGGTGGCTGGATTGAATGGCTGCTTGTTGCCCACACTTCATTGGCCTGATGCCATTCTGGCCATACTGGGTCCCAGCTGGGCACTGTGTACTGTGATGGTCACTCCGTGGAAGCCCAGAGCCCTCCCCTCAGTGACGGTTCCACCTTCATTCATGCACACAATCACTCTAGTCCAGTTTCAGATTTTCCTGGCTTTCTCAGCTGTACCTCAGGCTTATGTGTTGTCTCTGGTGGGACTTCAGGGTGTGTTGTTCTCATTCTGAGACCTTGCCCTGTGCTCAGCTCTTTTTACAAGAAGTCTGACTTTGCGGCTATTGGCAGAACCATAGCTGGCCCCAGTGTGAGTCCTGTCAAGCTAAACTGAATACTTATTCTACCTGCTGCACACCTGGAACAAGCCAAGAGCAGAGCACCCCTGTAAGGGGGACAGAAAGAGGCCTGAGACTCCCTGGCCATGATATGTCATGCTGGATGATTTGTGGCAAATTGCTTTGCAAGGCCTTGCACACTCCCACCTCCTCTGGGTCTGCCCCTATCTTCTCTCCACCTCTCACTTCAACCCTATGGTGTGCCCTGGAGCTGCCATTTTCTTACTGACCCCACTGCTAGGACCAGAGGGGATCAGTCCAGGAGTAAGTGCCTGACCAAAGCTGAGTCGATCACAACCTTCTCTGGGATTGCTGATCTGGGACCCATAGAGAGCAAGTCCATCTTTCTAGCAGTAAGACTCACGTCAACACACCCCTGCCCTGGCCTCTCTGAGCTCATCTTCACCCCTCTTTCCACACTAACTCTGCCCTAGCCACACCAAGCTCCTTGCTATTTCTTTTCTTTTTTTTTTTTTTTGAGACAGAATCCTATTTTGTCACCCTCAGTAGAGTGGTGTGGTAGCATAGCTCACAGCAACCTCAAACTCTTAGGCTCAAGTGATTCTCTTGCCTCAGCCTCCCAAGTAGCTGGGACTACAGGTGCCTGCCACAATGCCCAGCTATTTTTAGAGATGGCGGGGGTCTCACTCTTGCTCAGGCTGGTCTCGAACTCCTGAGCTCAAGCAATCCACCTGCCTCAGCCTCCCAGAGTGCTGGGATTACATATGTGAGCCACCACGCAGGGCCTCCTGCAATTTCTTGAACACCAAGTGCATGCCAGCCTCAGGGCTTTTGTCCTGGCTGTTTCCTCTGCCTGGCTAGCTCTTCCTCCAGATATTGGCATGCTCCTTCATCTCCTTCACTCATAAGGCCCTCCCTGACCACTGTACATGAAACTGTAGCCCCCACTCCAATATCCTGATTTTCCCGATCTCCATTTCCCTCTGATACACCATATCTTTACCACTTATTCTTTTGAAAGAGAGCACTCTGTGCACCGCTATATACATAATCTCTAGAACAAATGACCCTGTTGCACAGTAGGGTCAAATAGTATTCGTTAGGGAAATATGTGAAAGACTTAATAGTAGATCTCTGACATTCGGTGAGTACAGATGAAAGACACACAGCAGAGGGCTATACAGTGTTTGGGTCCCAGGTCCCAGTTATCCCAGAAGCTGAGCTGTGTCTCTCTTCCCCTGTGTGATTTTTCCTCTAGTCCTGTGGGGTTCCCAGTATTGCTCCAGTACATTTCTCCTTTTGCCCAAGATAATGTGCATTGGGTTTTTGTTTCTTGCCACCCAGAGCCCTAATACAGGCATTCCTATCTTTGCCCATTGGACAAACTTCCAGAGAAGAGGGGGACAGGTTTCTGCTAGTAAAAGGTTTCCAAAGGAGGCAGCTAAGTTTGGAAGGACAGAGAGGATCTGGCTTAGTAGGGAAGGTTGGGGAGAATATTCAGGCTGGGAACATGAGCAAAAGCAGAGCCTGGAGGTCCCTGACAGGGAAGGGGCTCAAGAAGTGGGCTCCTAAGCAGGCATCTGACTGCTGGCTTTGGGAGAAGCGAGTGTGAGAGTGTGTGTGCAAATGTGTGTGAGTGTGCCCAAGTGTGAGAGTGTATGCAAAGTGAATGTGTGTGAGTGTGGGGCAGAGGCATGTGGAGGAACTCCTCTGAGCATCTCCCAAACTGTAAGGAACACAGCCTCGGCTGCCCCTCAGGCCTGTGCTTTCTGCCCTGTGATTGCCTTGGCAACTGACCTTCGAATGCCTCTCAGTCCTCACTTCTGCAGCCAGATGCCTTCAAAGGGAAGGGGCTTTTCTGAGGGATGGAGGAAGAAGCCTGGAAGAAGAGGGTCCTCAGGGGCTGCCAGGGCCCATCACTCTGCCTGTCCCCCTCTGGCTGTGCAGCTGTGGCCTCCTCCCCAGTAACCTGCAGGCTGGCAGGCACTGAATAGCAGCCTGCTGGCTGCTGCCGACCATACCATTTAAGCTTTTGAAAGGGGAAGGTGAGAGCCATGGGGCCTCAAGAGGCAGTAAAACCCTCCCCTGCGTCCCCTCTGTGCCTCTTGCCTGAGAGGGCTCCAAGGAGACAGGCTGGAGAGAGGCCAAGGCCGTGGGAAGGCTCAGGAGCCCCAGCTCCTCTGGACAGCCCCCTTCCCCCTCTCCCCGCCCAGCTGCCATCCCTACCCTCTTGGATGTCCTCTCCCCAAGGCAGGGCCAGGACTCTTCCAGACAAAGCCAGGTCCAGCTCGAGAACGCGGAGAGAAGGCCCAATCTGCTGGGCCTGGCTGACTGAAGGGTGTAGGCCACAACAAAGGCCAGGGCAGGGCTGGGGTCACAGGCAGCACCCAGGGCTCCTGGGGCCTCCCTTGGACACAACTGAGAAAACCACTCCACCGAGCTCAGGATTGCTGAGGGCTGGCTCTGAGGTCAGTGGTTGGGGCACTGGAGGAGAAGGCTCAGTGAAGGAAGTGCAGGTGAGAACCTCGCTGGGGAACTCTGGGGAGGATGTAAGGGTATGCCCAGACCTGGGCAAGCCCCTTTGGTTCTGCAGAGGGTGGAAACAAGGTCCAGCAAGGGGCAGAGGCTAGACTGAGGCCTCACAGCACTCTTCTCTGCCCTCAGCAGAGAAGAAAGAATGTTCTAGACTGAGCTTACAGAGATATGTCCAGAGCAGGGCCCTGAGATGATTCCTAGCCTTGGTCTGGTGGAGAGCTCCACTACCCAGAACCAGCTGGTCCTGGCTGGCTGGACTGCAAAGAGCATCGGGGCCTTTGGCTGCTGAAATTGTCTTATGCTCCAGGGAAGGTGTCTTGTTGTTTTCAAGCACTTTGGAAGCTTCTGCTGCCACAGGAACTACTCAGATGCTAATGACAATTCCACTTATCTTTTTATTAAATCAGATCCCAAGGCGTGAAGCCTAGACCCTTTTGCTAGCCTGACAGGGTCTCCAGATCTATGTGAAGGTCCTGAAATAATGTCAGAATTAGTAGGATTGAGCCATCTCCCATTTCGGACTGCCTGTTTCTTCCTCCCAGCCAAGCACTACCCAGGGCAGCATAGATGGCGACTTCTCCCCATGGGAGATGGCAGGGGGCACACCCCATCCCTCCGCCCTGCTCAGACTTAAGGAAGAGCCAGCTCATGTCCGGCTGCCCAGCCAGAGTGCTCCCTAGGCCTGATGCCTGAAAGGCGGGACCTTGGGCAACTAGACGGGCATCAAAGTTTCCAGCTGGGAGGGGTCATTTTCTGTCCAGAAATGCTGGGAGGGGTGGTGGTAGGGACTGGGTGGGCGGTGGGGCGCCCTGGATGCCCTCAGTTGCTGGGCTCCAGGAGAAAGGAGTTAAGACCTGCGGCTGTTGGTGAGTGCCTGGGGTGGGCTTGGGGGCTCCCTGGAGTGGAGGACTGGGCGGCTGGCTCCCTTCCTCACCACCTGGCAACAGGGATTCCCTATAGCTTACAAGCAGAGCGTGGCATGACTCGAGGCCTCTTCTCTTGCCAAGTAAGCTTTGGTGCTAGCAAGTTGACTATGAGGGAGGCTGAGCAGTAAGCCGGGAAGAAGGAAAATCTGCTATGGCCCAGCCTCCTGAAAGACTCCAAGGTTAAAGAGAAATATATATATGTATTTTTTGCTTTTATCCTCTTGGGATTCCCTGTGCTGTGTTAATAGAACTCAAAGATCACAAATGCTGGCCTTCAAGCTCCATGTAGACTGCCTGTGGTCTCTTGTTGGGCCTGTGTAGTGTTTCACATATTTGAAAATTTATTTGAAGTTTATTTGGACTTTGCAGTCTCTCTTCTCCTTCCCTTCTTTCTTGCCTTGAATTTGAATTAGTTGCCAATATTTAAACATTAGAAACATTTGCCTATATCTTCCAGGTTTCAGTTTCTCTTGGGAAACTGACAAAGCCAACTCCCCTGGGCCTGCATTCCAGCACTGGCACCATTGGGCTGGGCCAGGCCCCGCCTGAGAGGGCCCAGCCAGCACTCTCCAGGTGGCACTGCCCAACTGTTGCTCCAGTCATGCATTATCTGCTGGCCAGGCTCTGCAAGCATTTTTATTTAGAGCCCCAGACATATTCCACCAAAAGTTCAGCCTAAATTCTCGTCTACAAGGACCATCTGCTGTGATCCCTCTAATGGGATGATCTTATGTAATAATGGAAATACCCTGTCAGACGACTGATGCCTTGTCAAGTCCTTGGGGCTTATTTCCCACCTGTCCCCAGAGCAGTTCACTGAGCTCAGAGAGGGCTGGGGCCAGAAGGGTAGAAAGGCTATGAGTCAGGAGTCACTGGCTCACAATGTGGCTTGGGCTTAGCTCTCTCCTGTTGGGGCCTCAGTTCTCTACCTGTCATGGGAGCAGACTGGTCTACATTGGAAGGCAGCAATAAGGAATGCCCACTGGGCCAGACTGGTGGAAATAAGGTATATGGTGGGTCTTTGGGGAGGCATGCGGAATTGGGCCAGGACCCTGTGTCTAAAGGGGCAGCTGCTACTGGGATCAGCCAGGAACACAGGCTGATGTTGCCAGTGGTGAAATTCTGACACTGCAAGAGAGGCTAGGCATCCAGATATTTATGTGAAATCTTTCTTTTTCTTTAATATTCACAATTACAAGTATAAAAACGCTGCAAGGACCCAGTGAAATACACCTGGTGGGGCCTAGTTTGCAGCCCTGACATTAGACAATTGCTAGGGTCCCTACCATTTAAGGCTCACTTCTGGTCACAGAGCAAGTTACTGATGGAGCTGGTCCTCGATCTCAAGTTTTCAGGCCTAAGACTCTATGGTAATTTATGAGAATGATGTGAAAATGCTGAAAGTTATTGCCTCTTATCTCCTCCCGGGCAGATGAGTGGGGGTGGCGGTGGAGCACGAAGAGGACCTGAGCTCAGGCCCAGCCCCACCACTTATTAGCAGGGTATGTGCACTTGGACTTCCACCTATCTGGGCCCTGTTGTCCTAATCTGCAAGATGACCATGATGCTATCTAGTTGAATAGTACCAGCTCCATCAATGCTCCCAGGAGTCTCTCCTCACTCCCTTACCCCAGGTCCAGCTGACCTGCTCTGAGCTTCTGTCCTGTTGCTGTTGCAGGAGCCATGAGCACAGAGGGCCCCAGCCTCACCAGCTCCCCGGCCACCAAGCCCCTCACCTTCCTTTCAGCCCTGGTCACTCCAGGGCCCCCTGCACAGGCAGCTGACCCCCTCCCGGTGCTCATTGCCCTGGCCTGCATCTTTCTCCTGCTGGCCACCTGTCTGCTGTTCATGATGCTCTGCAAGCCGGCTGCGCTGGACCCGAGCCGCCGCAGGGCTCGAGAGTGCATGCCCCACCACCCTGGGAGCCCCAGCGAGCCCCAGCTCCGGCTCTGGAAGCGCCTGGGCTCCCTGCGCCGCTCCCTGCACAGCTTCCGTCGCGGCAGGCCTGCTGCCCCTCGACGCCCCCTGCCGGGCTATGATGACAACCACAGTGACTATGACTACATGGAATCTACCAAGATGTGACAGGTGTCCACACACCACCCCCCTCCCCAGGTCCACCTGCAGATCCTCCTGCCTCAGATGGAGCCTGCCACTGTAGGCAGGCAATGGCCCAAGCAATCTGGGCCACACACTCACCCCTAGTGGCTTCCTGTATGTCTAGGCCAGTGCCCTTTCCCAGAGAGGGCCTCCTGAAGAGTACCTTCCTCTCTGTAGACCCCCTAGCTGCTGCTTGCTAAAAGATCCCTGGACCAAGGGATGAGCACCCATAGCTATCTGGACCCTGAGAATCTGTATCCTGAGAATCCACAGGATACAACCTGGGGCTCCTTAGGGCCCCTTTCTGGCAACCAGGCATCAACCACCTCCTGGAAGCAGCGTACCTGCTCCCCAAGAAGCCCTGCCTTTCCTCCAGGTGCCAAAGCCCAGCCAGAGGAGTTGCCAGTGGCCACAGGTTTCCTTCAGCCAAGTGGAACACTCAGCCTATCCTGAGAGCAAGGTACTGTCCTACTGCCTATGCTGACTCATGCTCAAGCCAAGAGGGAACCCCTGGACTTCTCTCCTTGGACTTGCTGAGCACTGCCAGCATCTTCCTGGTAATGCATGGGAGCCACCACCATGGTCCTGATGGATTAGATACCTGGATGCCAGTGAGGAGCAGGGGCAAGAAGGAAGCCACCAGATCACAACCTTGGCAGCAGGATTGATGGGCCCCCTTCAAGGTGTCCATGGCAGGATCTGTCAGGAAGGGGCTGAGGATGGGTTAAGAGGCTGGTTTCAGAGGCCAGAGCTGGTGCTATGACAGAGTGGCAAGAGGCAGGGCACTGCCAGCAGCTGGAAGGGATGCCAGCTGGGCTCTGAAGACACATCACAGAGGCTCCATGCCTCAACCCAAGGGGTGGGATGGCTCAGAACGCTCCAGGACACCTGTAGGAACTTAAACCTAGACCACACTGGGTATGCTGTGTTTTTGGTGATTGCTTCACTGACTGGCTACCTATCAAAGCAATCTCATCCCCAGGTGGATTTCTCAGAGTCCCAAACCTTCATCTCTTCTCCGAAGTCCAGGGTTAAATGCTTTCATTGGGTCCCAGATTTGCAGAGTGAACAGAGTAGCGCCTGAGCTGCCTAGCTCCTGTCTCAGAGAGCTGGCTGGCCAGGGACCCACCACAGAGCTGCCCTGGCTCAGAGTGTCACCCTCCTGTGACCCATAGTACAGCCAGCCAAGTCATCTCTAGGAGTGAGCTCTGGTTTTGCCACTCCCCATCTTTAAAACCTTCACTGGCTCCCTAAGGCTAACTGGACATAACCAAATTTCCTTAGCCTAGGGTGCAGAACCCTCTGGCAGCTAGCTTTAAATTATCTT